TAGATCTCAGCTCTTAAGTAGCTAGGGGGATTACAGGTGTGAGCCACTGGCATCTGGCTGTTAATTTATTATTATATTTTGTTATTTGTATTAGTACTGAGGCTTGAACTCTAGGCCTCATGCTCTTATTCAGTTTTTTTGCTCACAGCTGGTGCTCTGTCACTTGACCCATGCTTCCAGTTCCAGCTTTTTGTTGCTTAATTGGAGGTAAGAGTTTCAAGGATTTGTCAGCAGGGCTTAGAGATTTAGAGGCTTAATCTTAAAATCTCAGCCTCCTGATTTAGTAAGGTTTATAAACATGAGTCACCAGCACCTGGTTGGTGTTTAATTTTTTGAGCTTATTGTGTATTCTGGATATTAATCCTTTACCCAATGAATAGCTGGCAAAGATTTTCTCCTATTAGGTGGTTTGTCTCTCCATTTTTGTAATTGTTTCCTTTGATGTATAGAACCTTTTTAATTTAATGTAATCTCATTTGTCAATCTTTGCTGAATTATTTTTTTTTTTTTGGGTCCGGTTGTGGGGCCTGAACTCTGGGCCTGGGCGCTGTCCCTCAGCTCTTCAGCTCAAGGCTCTGCCACAGCGCCACTTCCGGCTTTTTTTTGCTTATGTGGTGCTGAGGAATCGAACCCAGGGCCTCATGCATGCAAGGCAAGCACTCTACCACTGGGCCACCTTCCCAGCCCCTCTTTGCTGAATTATTAAGAGTTCTATTCAGAAAATAATTACCTATGCCTATATCTTCCAGAGTTTTCTTGTAGTAGTCTCAAAATTTCTTAGATTAAGTTCTTTGATTTGTCTTGAAAGATTTTTATAGAGGGATATTCTTTCTGTCTTCTACATGTAAATAACTAGTTTTCACAAGCTATTTGTCAAAGAGACTGTCTTTTCTCTGTGTATGTTTTGGCTCCTTTGTAAAAAATTAGATGGTTTTGAGTTCAAGCCCCACGACCAACAGACAAAAAGAAAAAAAATCAGCTGTATCGTTGTGGTTTTATTCCTGGGATCTCAATTCTGTTCCACTGGTATTTGCGTCTATTTTTGTGCCAATACTATGCTGTTTCATTACCATGGCTTGGTAATATAATTTAATGATAGTATTGTGATACCCCCATTTTTCCTTTTTGTTCAGGATTACTCTTGCTATCTGGGATCTTGTACAGTTCATTATGCATTTTAGAACTGCTTCCTTTAAGAATGGCATTAGGATTTTGATGGAAATCACAACAAATCAATAGATTGCTTTAAGTAGCCATTTGCATGATATTAATTATATCAGCCTAAGAATGTGGGCTGGCTTTGGTGTCTTCACAAAGTCTTTTTTTTTTTTTTTTCTTGTCTGTCAGGGCACTGTCCCTCAGCTCTTCAGCTCAAGGCTAACACTCTACCACTTGAGCCACAGCACCACGTCCAGCTTTTTCTGCTTATGTGGTGCTGAGGAATTGAACCCAGGGCCGCATGTATGCAATGCAAGCGCTCTACCACTGAGCCACCTTCTAGCCCCTTCTCAAGGTCTTAAAAAGTTTTCACTGTAGAGATCATTCAACTCATTGTTTATTCCTAGGTATTGTTTTTATTTGAGGAAATAAATGAAATAAACAATTTTTTTATTTCTTAGCCTGTTAATTGTTGGTATATAGAAAGGCTATTCTTTTTCCTTGGTGGCATTGGTGTTTGAACTCAGGACCTTATGCTTCTAGGCAAGTACCCTATCACCTGATCTACTTGCAGCTCAAGCTACTGACTTGTATGTTTAGTTTTACATCTTGCCACTTCACCAAGTGTTTATCAGACCTAGCAATATTCTGTTGGAGTCTTTAGGGTCTTTTAAGTATAGGATATTATTTTCAAACAAGGACAAGCTGTTGAGAAAGAATTGGGAAAGCACTGTTCATTACAGTAACATTTATCTAAAAAAATAAAACCCAAACTGATTTATTTCTTCCTTCCCTATTTGATTAAGTATTCCAGTGTTATATTGAGTAAGAGTAATAAGAGATATGGACACAATTGTCTTGCTCCGTACTTAAGTAAATGATTTGTTTTCCTCTATTTAGTACATCAGCTATAGGATTATTATATTGGGGTACATCCCTAGCCATGCCAGAGCTTTTATCATGGGAGGATGTTTGCATTCTGTAATGATTTTTCTGTATCTAATGAGATGACCATGCATTGTGTGTGTGTAGTCAGTTGTGGGTCTTGAACTTGGTCTGGGTGTTGTCCCAGAGCTCTTCAGCTCAAGGCCAGTGCTCTACCACTTGAGCCACAGTGCCACTTATGGTTTTCTGGTGGTTGAAGAGTCTCTCGGACATTCCTGTCTGGGCTGGCTTTGAACTGCAATTCTCAGATCTCAGCCTGTGAGTAACTAGGATTACAGGTGTGAGCCATTGGTGCCCAGCTGACCATGTAGTTTTTGTTTTTGATTTTGTTAATATTCTGAAGAACTTTCAGACAGGTTCAATGGTATATACTCTATTGAAGGTTTATTGAAGCAAAGTTTCATTTCAATCCTGCATTGATATGGACATTGGGGATGCTTAACTTCTGCTAAAATGTAGATTGCATTAAACAGTATGCCAGTTTTTTACATTTTTGTAAATGTTATTAGTACTAGAAGCTATATTTTCAGCACCAAAAACTAAAAACCTTATAGCTACCTATGTGTACCTAGTGAGCTGTGAAATCAATTTCCTAGTATTACCTTGAAAATATGCCTTTAAGACTGTTCCAATTCCTTCCAGTTGGATCCACATTTATTGCTTACTGATATTGTTCAGTTGTCCTCTACAATTGGTTTGTCATTCTTCTTAACTGACACAACCAATTAAACATTTCACAACTTTTTGTCCAAGTTTTTTTTTTTTCTTCTTTTTTTTTGTGGGTCATGGGGCTTGAACTCCGGGCCTGGGCGCTGTCCCTCAGCTCTTCAGCTCAAGGCCAGCGCTCTACCACTTGAGTTACAGCGCCACTTCTGGTTTTCTGGTGGTTTATTGGAAATAGGAGTCTCACGGTCTCTCCTGTCCGGGCTGGCTTTAAATCGCAATCCTCAGATCTCAGCCTCCTGAGTAGCTAGGATTACAGGCGTGAGCCACCATCGCCCGGCTCCAAGGTTTGTTTTTTTCCTGTGCACAGGGTCAAATGATTTTGCCCAAATCAGCTTTGACAGCACGAATTCTCCTTTCTGTTAACAGTGGTCCTTGACTTTTAAACACTTTATTCTTAGGCCTTTGTATTGTACCTTTACTTTTTGTCTAGGTGCCTAAGTTTAGAAGTCATCTTATTAAGAAATTTTCCAATTATGTGAGTATCTCAACGGAACTAGCAGCACATGCCCCATTATTGTGAGCTCCACAAAGTGAGATTGATTTTTGTTCCATTAATATTACCTGGAGCTGCATATTGAAAGTATGCAAAAATGCATACCATTTTGGAAAAGACAGGTTGAGATTTTCCTTACCATTGGAAACAATACTAGATATCATTTCTGTCTCCTAGCCCAGTTAATCCTTTTAGAATACCACAATCAGATCTTGAAATTCATCTTCACCATCAGGTTCATTGACATTAACAATGTCAGGGTTCAGGAGTTTCTCAGGGGCATTGGTATTTTCTTTACTAAATACTTTTTCAGTGTTGTACTCAGCTGAGCAGAAATTGTACTAATTGGGGCTCTTTCTATTGTACCTCACACAAATCCAAGAATCTGTTTGTTGTTCGTTAGTCTATTTTGTTCTGTAGGATAAAAATAACTGTTTTCATTTCTATTGCTACTAGGTGTTCTAAAATCTGAGGTGGGGCACAAAGATTCATAACCAGCCATTCACAGAGCATAGCAGCCATCAAAGTTTAATGACAAGCATCCATTTTGAAGTTATCTTTGGTCCCTGGAGAAATCCATAAGGTTTGTCACATCCATGAGCTATCTCCTAGCCAAGGCTAACTTGAATCATGTATAAACTGTCACGTTATATTGAAGCTTGATTGCATCTTTTAACCAGTTTGAACTGCAAAAATGGGTTTACAATTGTGGATTTCCCATGAGGTACACAGTTGTACCTATGTGGCCTGTGAACGTGGCATCTAACTGGTGATACCCAAGGTGTTAAGATCCTTGTCTTTCAAGGTACCTAAAGCAGTTGCTCTAAGCAACTTGAAAAGCCAAATATCTTTCATACATGTACATCTAAGCACACACTTGTAATATAGCGGGTTCCTAGAATGAAAACTTAATACTTGAGTAACATTTTACCAAAAGGAAAACTCACAAGAAAGGGGAGTATTTAATCAAGTTATACCAAATGTTTACACTTTGCCAGACCTGTCAAGAGACTAGTGATATCTGTACAGTTTGCCCTTTCATGAAGCCATTCTCTTTGTCAAGGAATTTATCAATTATGTCCAGGTGGACATTTTTATTACAAACCAAATCTTGCTAAGCAGTGACTTCGAATTCCTATTTTATGTTTAGTAAATGATCATTACTATGCAGAAGCATGTAAGGATGAATTAAAGGCTCTGCTTACCCAAGTTAGTATCTAGTAGTCATCTTGACTTTAATAGTCCTACTCTTGCAAAAGCAACTGAGTATGAAATTGTAACATGTTAATGGAACTTATTTCTGAGTAGAGCCACAGAACTTGTTCAAAATTAATCAAGAAGCATAATTTAAGACATTCAGGTTAATGCTTTGAGTCAGTTACATCAGAATTTCATTCTTAGTCCCACCCACTTCAATATTCAAAGTACTCAGGTTATTTCTAACGTGATGGATTAAACCTTAGTAAGAGGCTATCCACTGTAAATGCCTAGCTCATAGGCTTGGCAATTTATCTCAAACTTTTTATCAGCTCATGCACTGACAAAGTCTTGAAAAATCTCAAAGACTCTGAATGAAAGACCAAATATATTCTCACTACCCCCTCGATTCTTGGTAAGCCATCTTTAAATGTAATGTATTTTCTTTCTTAGTGCCATACATATCAAGACTTAATTGAAGTTTGTAGTTTAAAAAAGTTTTTATTTGATCAGGAAAAAAAAAAGGACAATCTTAATGCCAACTTGTCACCTACTCATAGATTTGAACTTACAAGATTCACTACTCTAGATAACTGCACCTACTAACACAACTTGAAATGGATCTCCCTTCTATTCCCTAAGGTTCCATGTTGAAATAAACAATTCCTTACAATAGCCAACATTGTTACTTGGTCGTAGCAAAACAAGGCCAAAGAAATTTCAACTTGGTAGCCTAGCAAGTACATATATCATTGGAACAAAATTGCAGGGATTAAAATAAAGAAGCAGGTATCAGCATAAACAACTTCTGTGTAACCTAAGATCAACTTTTCTGTATGTAAACACAAATGTCAATCCTAGCATCCTATAGTGGAACATGGAAACTCCCAAATCCAACTATACTGAATAAAACTGTCAGCCAAATGTACTTTAAAACCTAAAACTTTTGATGCACCAGAAGGTAAGCTTTAATGATACTCATTATGCTTAGCCTCATAATCAACAAACTCAAGACTTAAGCATTTTCCCCCCATGGTTCCTTCCTATGTCTGAATACAGAAATGCTTAATTCATGCACTAAATACACTGAAAGTTACTAGTGTTGACTTTCCCTAAGAACTCAACACAAGCTCCTTGAAATGCCAACTTGGAAACATTTTGTTCATCTGCTGGTGGCTGTGACTTAACTATGTCATTCTGCCAGTACCCCAAATCTCAATCTGCTGACCAAACTATAATGGACAAGTTCTTATGTATCTGTTTCTACCAGCTTTATAGTGCTTTTTACAACTTCCATCTGGAGACTTACTTTCATAATTAAATGAACTAGTCATGGTGTTGACTAACCAAATTTTTCCAGCAGACCACTGATCACCCAATGCAATTACTGGAAGTTACATGTGGTATGCCAGAGAGCTATGAACAAGCTATGTCGGTAAAATTTTTTTTTAGGGACTGCTAGGCACTCAGCTACATCCTCAGCCCCAAAGTCCTATTCTTAAGAGAATACAATGGGGCTGGAAATGTGGCTGAGTGGTAAGAGTGCTGTCTGCTGCAAAACTTCTAACCACAATAATATGACTTAAGTTTTCAAGATAGTCTCCAGATAACCAGAGAGGAAAAGAACATTATTTGAATCTTAGTTAACAGGGGAAAAAAAAATTCAAGCCTGAGTGTGGAAAATATACCTAAAAAAATTGGGATCTGAGCAACACTGTGGGTACTTATTAAGGACCACAGTTCCTTCCTATGGGCCAACTTCCTACAAAATAAACTGCCTTAATTATTGCTTCTTTAAAATTATTTTTTACAGTGCTATGTAGTACCTGACGCAGAAACAATCACATAAGGAAGCATTTATTTGAGGTTTAACATGAAATTGTACAAATAAAAGTTTGTATAAACAAATCCACATTGAGTCATAACACATAGCAAAAGACAAACTAAAAACAAAGAAAACTAACTGGCGGCTATATACAGTTGGACACAATTGTGTCTTATACACTACAAAGTCTTTACAAAATAATCAGATCAACAGAAGACCAATCTTCAATGTAGTCCTGTAAGGTGAGATTTTCTTTAGCATCTCCTAAAAATAAAAACAAAGTACCAATTAGACTTGTGCAATTCTGACAAGCTTTCAAAGGTCCATTTTCATGAATTGTTTTAAGTTCTCACTTTATAGTTTTCTTCAATAATTAAAGATCACATGCATTTTCATTAGCAAAATCCATTTCAGAAAGCTGAGAAACTCACTTGGGAGTTCCCAAATGATGTCCAATTCAAAACTACTCAGAAAAGAACCTGGGAATGCCACTGTCCCATATTCATAGGTTGTACAGATTAAGGCCTACTAGAAATATCTCTAGTAAACCAAGTAAATAAAATGCTAAAACAATCATTGATTTTGGATAGATTTACTGTATTACAAAAAAATTTTCTTTGCATGTGATCTTTAACTTATATCCCAGATTTACAAGTTCTTGTTTTGTAGATTTCACTATTAGCTATAAAAAGAAAAAGCAAGCATTAAATCTTAAAGAATGAACACTTAAAATGAGGCTCCACAATTGAAATACAACACTAAACAGAAGACCAAAATGATTAAGCTGTAAAAAGGCATTTATGTACTTTAACTCCTGTAAAAAACCATTTAAGTTAAGTTTATGACACTTAATCTCCAAAAAGATCTTTTTTTTTTTTAAAAAGAAGCCAAAGTCTGAAGTTTTCCACTTTAATCTTTACGCTGGTACATGAAGTTGGAAGAGACCATACCACAGGACAGCGTTTTCTGGTGTATGCCTTGCGCTCTGCCCGCAACGTGCGACCCCCAGAGATAGACGTGGTCAGGGTGACACACGGCCTGCAATGAAGTTCCCGCTGGCGGGTACAAACAAGGTATAATGTCAGAGTTAGAAGATAACATTCTTGTTTTCCTTAAGTTGTACCCATTTCAGTACTTTACCTGTTAATAGTTTTAAAAAAGTTTTAATTATTCCTCTAGACCTTGTGGTACACAAAACAGAAAAACTTTTAAGTTTTTCTGTAATACTAAAAAAGGTGAGGTAAGACTTTAAAAGTTAAAGATCTATAGACACTTTAGGCAAAACAGACTCATAAAGCAATTAACAAAATTAACAATTTAGTAAAAACAGGCTACATTATATTGTTTTTACTTATTTCATTTGTCTATTGATCTTTAAATTAAGACACTTCCATTGATTTCTTGTACTCTTATACACACCTGCTTTCTCTAACGTTCTCCTTAGTATGGCTGGTAATTATTTTGGTGATTGCCACCACCTCGAGATGCCTTGCCATAAGTGCTCTGTTGACCTTTTTAGAAAGAAAAATAAAACTTTTTCAGAAAATTTCCTGTTAAGACAGTTCTACACACTTAAACTATCAAATATGTAAAACTCTGCATGCAATAGCCATATAAACTAGTCAGAAACATTAAACTACATTCTGTTAGTATAATCATCTTAACTGCAATACATTTGAAAAGCTTAATAATTTAAATTAAGGCCACATAATTTCAGCATGGCAATCTACTTTTAACATTTAATACCACTGGTTTATGAAGTTAAGATAAGTATTCTTACCACTGTAGTCTGCATATCCCTGTCCATATCCATAGTTCCCATAGTTATACCCAGTATAATCATATCCGCCATAGCCACTATAGTTTTGATCACCACCATAGGCACTATTGTAATTTCCATATCCTTGATCATAATAGTTATTAAATCCTTGGTTCCAGTTTTGGCCCTGACCTGAAACAATGCACAATGATTGTTAGGCAATAACTTCTGACCCCCAAGCCTAACAAAAAACCCCCAAAACATTCTTGTCTTTTATTCTGCAAAAGTTAAAAGGCAGAAATGGGTATTTATACTGCAGGGTAGCTACCAGTTGTTTTGGTTTCAGTTAATCCTACCACCATTAAAGATGAAAATGGGTAGGCCCTTCTACTTAAAACAAGGACTCCAAAGGAAATCTGTCATGCAGTGTTGCTTCTTGCAGTGGTGTTTATGGTGTCGTTATCAAAGTGCCTATTCTCAGTAGGTGTGAAACTAAGTAAGCTCATTCCCACCCCCCACAAGGTAGCATTTTTTGCCATGTTGTGATAGCTTTAATTTCAACAAAGTTTAAACTGGTTATTTCCTAAGAATCAAATCTCACCTCGGCCACGACCCCTAGTACCACCTCTTCCTCCAGCTGCAGCACCTCTTCCTCCTTTTTGTTGTTGCTGTTGCTGCCTATACACTTCCTTGGGCTGGGCAACTTTGATCTCACACTACAAACAAACACAAACAGAATTTTTCACTAAAATTCTAAGACTATTTTTCTCTTCTCAAATAGAGAAAACCCTCAAATTTTTCATTTCATGTAATTAAACTGCTTTACCTTCCCAGAACCAATTTGATGATATCTGCTTTCTAACAATTTCTTTACTGGCTCCTCATCTGTATATGTGATAAAGCAAAACCCTCTTCTCTCATTTGTTTTTGTATCCATGGGAAGTTCAATATTTTCAATCTGAAATCAAGATGCATAGTCAAGATCATTCAATAGCAGCAAAGTTATCTCCCTGTCTTAGAATGCTACATGACCTGTCAAGCCTCAATGTTATTCTAATAATTTCTAAGCTTTATGACCAAGCCATAACAACTTATGTATGTATCTAGAATATCATGTTACAAGAGATTCCACCAGTTCTTTAAGTCCAGACACTGATTATGAATTACCATTATATTAGAGAAATTTAGAATAGGGTAACTCGAAAAACACCCAAACAGTAATGAATCCTACCACGTGAAACTATTAACTCTATAGAAATTGGACCGGGGGTGAAAATTTTTTTTATAAGCACAGCAAACAGCCCACCTCTCCAAAAGCTCCAAAATATTCTTTAATTTGTTCTTCAGAAGTATCTGGGCTCAATCCACCCACAAAAACCTTTTTAGGGGGTTCTTTGCCTTTCAAAGCTTTGGCCCTTTTAGGATCTATCAATTTGCCATCCAGTTTGTGTTCTTTCAGTTCCAAAACCTAGAAGACAAATTTATTTTACGTTGGCAGGCACATACAAAACCCAGAATATACAAGAAACAAAAAAGGAAGCACAAGGCAAAACACACTCCTACCTTATCAACACTAGCAGCATCTTTGAAAAGCACAAACCCAAATCCTCTTGATCTTCCAGTGACTGGATCTGTTTTGATTGTGCAGTCTACAACTTCCCCAAATCGAGACAAATACTCTGTCAGATCTTTCTTGCTCGTATCCCAGCTCAAGCCTCCAATAAACATTTTACTAGGGATAAAAAATTGCTTTTTAAAAAAGTTTAACATTAACTTAAAAAAAAAACGACTTCAGCCCTGAAATAAGCAGGGAGTAATTCACACATTCAATCTAAGCTCTTAAATCTATCACTATACAAACAGATCACAAATCTCAAAGCTCCACCACCTCGAGGTTACTTATTCAAACCGACAGAGTGCTTTCCCAAGGCTGCCATCAGGTACAGTTTTAAAAAGCCCTTAGAATCACACGCGACGGTTCTACCCAGACTCCTTGGGGGGGGGGGGGTCAGAGATCTCAACTTTTCTACAATGACTCCTCGCGACTCAGGTCCGCTCTGATCCTCAGCTGTCAAAGCCAACATTCTAGGTACTGCTTTCCAAGGTACCAAGTCGTACCTCCGGGTGCCCAAGCCGAAGTTTGCTCAACTCTCCGAACAAGCCGTCGGAGCAGAGCAGAAGACACAATGAGGCGACGGCGGCAGCTGCGGAGAGTGGCGCGGCGGCCCCTCCCCCCCCCGCGGCGCCTGCGCACTCGGGACCGCGACGCCGCCGTCCTCCGCCAACCCCGCCGCGCCCTTCCCCCACCCTCCGCGGGGCTCTCGAGTCAGCCCCTTCGTCTCCCCTTTCCTCTCCCCTCCAAGCTTCGTGGAGCCTGGCGGGCACGCGGAGGGTGGGCTCGGGAAGAGAATGGGTGCAGCACGCGGCTCCCGAAGAGACCAGGGCGCGCGCGGTGCGCTTTGGGAGGGCAGGGAAGGGAGAGGAGCTGGGGGGGGTGGGGGGGAAGCGTGGGGTACCCGTCATCCTGCTGATTCTTGCTCGCGTTGATTTTGGATCCCTCTGCGAACTCCTCTATGTTGCTGTACTCGTTCATGTCCTCCATGGTGGCGGAATGGTCGGTCGGAGGGTGGTGGCGCGTAGTCCGGCTGGCGGCAGCGGCGGCGGCGGAGCGTTGTATGGAGCTAGATTTAAAATGGCGGCGGAAGAGATCCGGGCGCCGCCTGCGCCCTCCCTTTATAGCCGCCCCGCCCGCCAATCGGGAGGGCGGCTGGGCGGTGACGTGGCGCGGGGTCCGCCGCGCCCCCTGCCGGGCGGAACTGGAAGCGAGCGAAGGGAGGAGCGGGGCCAGCTGCCGGGGCGCCCGCGGCCGCCAATGGGAGAGGCTGCGGGAGGCGAAGGGAGCGGGAGCTGAGGGGAACAATGGCGGCGGCGGCACATGGGAGAGCCGGGGCGGGACCTCCATCGTGGCCCTCCCGGTGAGGAGCGAGGTCGCGCGGGGGGGGGGAGGACGGGGAGAAGTTGAGGGATGGCGGGGTCGGGACGGAAGAATCGGAGGCGAAAAACCCTGGGGGAGGGCTGGAAATCCCGAGCAGCGCCGTGGCAGGACCGCAGTCCCTCTTGCCTGGAAATCGCCTTTGTCTCTGGCGTCCGATCCGACCCACTCCTCTACCAAAGAGCCGGTTCACCCCCTGCTCTTTTGCGCCCTCGGTCTGCCCCCAAGGCGGAGCTGCTGCTGTCGGCTTAGCACCGTGGCCGGCTGCTCCAGGAAAAGGACCGCGCTAGGCGCGAGCGGCCGGGACGGCAAGAGCGCGGCCGTGCACCGCGCGCACGCGTGTTTGTTTCCCGCGAACAGAAACCAGCCGCACAGGAAGCGGGCGCGCGGCGGCTCCTCCGGGCGGGGGCGCCTCTTCCGCCGCCGCCGCCGCCGCCTCCGCCTTAGGGAGTGCGGCCGCGAGCCCGGCCCCGCACTGTAGATATTCAAAAGTCTAGGCGTGGGGCGGAGGAGGGGCACTCACGTCCCCGGCGCGCCACTCGGGTGGCTGCTCCCGTCTGCACGTGCTGGGGGGGGGGGTGGCTCTCCCGCTGGTGGACCCAGACTGCGCAAGGCACGCGCACGCGGCTCCCGCGTTCGCTTCTTTGTTCCCGCCCACGCGAGATCCCAGTGGACGGATAGCGTACGGAGTCCTACCGGCGGCCAATCGGCAGTGAGGCCGCGGGCTGTCCCGCCCCCCTCGGAACCGGAGAGCCCCGCCCACCCGCTGCCCACGTGGTTCGGGCCTGCGGCTCCCCGCTGCTCCCGGTGCAGAACCTTCGGCGGTCGGCTCTCCGCTTGCAGCACGTCCGTGGAGGTGGTGTGTCCTGAGCGTCTGGGATCCCTCGCTGCCGCCAGCCTCGGTATTGTTTGCGGGGCTTTTCTGAAGGCCAGGAAGGTTCTGAGGCGCTGCTGGCGCCGTCCTTCGCCCTCCCGACCCGCAGGCCGATTCCCGTGGTAGCATCCGGTAGGGAAATGGTCGTGCTTTCGGTGCCTGCCGAAGTCACTGCGATCCTTCTAGATATCGAAGGTACCACAACCCCGATTGCTTTCGTAAAGGTGAGGGGCGGAAGGGAGCGGAGAAGTCGTTTGTGTTTGGGTGCAATTGGAAACGATTCTGTTTAATGACTGCGGATTTTGTCTTGGAGGCCCGAGGTCTGGGAGAGGCGTTGTGGGCTCCAGGAGCTGTGGAACAGGGAGGAGGAGGAAGTGGCGAGGCTGCGGAGCGCGCTGGGTGGCGTCCGTGCTTCCTTCCCCAGGCACCATCTTTTCTCCCACCCCCGTCCTTGCTCTGGTTACATGCAGCTGGGTAGGAAGAAATGGAAGTGATTGAAAGGAAGAGACTGACGGGGCCAGGTCAGCAGGAGCGAGGTGGGGGTGATGTGGGCGTCCATCGCGTGGCAGATGGGCTCCCTGTTTCTCCTCTAGCCAAGATGACAGCCTCGATTCTGTGCCTTTTGAGTTCTAAGCTTTCAAAATAGCCTAGGACGTTGCACTGGAAAGATTGCTCTTCGACTTCCCACCCCTGCTAGGAGCCGAACTGCACACTTCATTTTCCTCATCTGTGCTCTGGCCCACAGCACTGATTTCTGGACCCATAGGACACCTCTAGATTACGTTCACTTTCCTTAGAAAGCCATACAAGCTTGACGCTTTTATCCTAAGCATGCCTCTGGTTGATTAACACTTGTGCAGACCTAATTCACAGGCTTACAGCTTTGCCGTGCAGCAGGCATTTTTTGTTGTTGTTTTCTGTTTGCCTATCTGAATTAAAGATAGATAAAGTGTTATCTACAGATGGCTTCTGTAGAGGTCAAGAGATGTAGGGGAAAGATTCATTCACCAAGCAACTAGGAAGCCTGAGTTTTAAATTTAGTTAAAAAAAAAAATCTGTGAGTAGGGCTGGGAATGTAGTTTAGTTGTAGAATGCTTGCCTAACATGCATGAAGCCCTGGGTTTGATTCCTCAGTACCACATAAACAGAAAAGGCTGGAAGTGGCGCTGAGGCTCAAGTGGTAGAGTACCAGCCTTGAGCAAAAGAACAGGGACAGCACCCAGGCCCTGAGTTCAAGCCCCAGGACTGGCAAAAAAAAAAAAAAAACTAACAAAAAAGATCTGTGAATAAATTTCTGTATGTAGGTTATAGCATAAAGTCCATATACTCTTTTCAAAGTCCAGATATAACAACTACTTTAAAATTTTACAGAAGAATCACTGTATCTTGTCATCTTAGTGAGAGTTCTGAAGAAATCCCAGACCTTTTATTCCCAAGTTCATAATCACAGTGATTACAAACTTGGGGATGAAAAGTCTGGAAAATTTTAGGATCACTCATATGCTATTAATGGATTAACTTTTTATTGTTGCAATATAGCAACTATTATCTATTGACTTTATTGTTGCAATAGAGCAACTGTTAACAGAAGCATAAAGTTTCCTGATTTTTATGATTTACAGTTAGCAGCCTACTCACTCTGATGTTTTGCTGTCTTTTCAGGAGACCAGCAGTATCTGGAGATAGCAGAAGTAGGGATGTAACATTAACTATGGGCCATTCTCAGTTGATGCCTCATACAAATCATTTTTATAACAGCATGATCTCCTTCCCCAGCCTTTTTCTCCTTTATGTTTTCTGTTAGAGACTGAGCCACTTCTTGTAATCCTTGTGGTAGTTATCTGAAATCTGAGGGGAAAAAATGTCCTAGTGACCTAAATCAATTACTTGAGTTTGACACTAGATTATGTGCTCTGAGAAAACGATTAAAGGAATCTTCCCCCCTCACCCCCCCCTTTGGCCTGGGCTTTGAACTTGGCCTGGGCAATGTCCCAGAGCCATTTTTTGTGCTCAAGAGCACTCTACTACTTGGGCTGTCGAATAGCAATCCTCAGATCCCAAGCCTCCTGAGTAGCTAAGATTGCAGTTGTGAGCCACTGGCACCCTGCTAAAGCAGTCTCTCACTTGTGTAAGCTACTCAGAAAGCTGAGATAAGAGGACTGTGAGTTGGAAGCCAGCCGGGGCAACATAGTAGTTGTCTCCAACATAAATAAATAGTTAGGCATTTAGTTAAATGTTAATTACTACTGTTTGGTTTGCTCTACTGGGGTTTGAACTCTGTTCTCTACCACATGAGCTGGTCCTCTAGCTATTCTTTGGTCTTGGATTGTACCCTGGGTTGGCCTGGAATTTAGGATCCTTTTGACTTAGTGCTTAGATTACAGAAGCGCACCACCATCCCCAGCCTTAACTATTTGTAATATATTATTATTATTATTATTATTTTTTGCCGGTCATGGGGCCTGAACTCTGGGCCTGGGCGCTGTCCCTCAGCTCTTCAGCTCAAGGCTAGTGCTCTACCACTGGAGCCACAGCACCACTTCCGGTTTTTTCTGTTTATGTGGTGCTGAGGAATCGAACCCAGGGCCTCATGCTTGCAAGACATGCACTCTACCGCTGAGCTACCTTCCCAGTCCCTTGTAATATATTATTATTTTTTTTGCACATGAATGTATCAAAACCAGTATTTCAGAAACTACACAAATAAGAATGTTAGGTCTGTGGATATTTATGGTAATTATGCAAAAAGAATTTCATTAAATGCAGGTCTGAACATGTTGAACTGGGCATCTTCTTGGCATGACTTCTCAGAAGCCTCTGTCTGGTCTCCATATTCATAAATACTTTGTGGCTGTTAAAAGAGTGTCATCTCAGCAAGGCTCCTAGGTATTCATGAAGCTGACATCTGTATGGTTTGAAGCCAGCCAGGACAGGGAGAAGGGAGGTCCATAGTCTCTTACTCCAATTAACTACCATTTAAAAGCCAGAAAAGTGGAGCTGTGGCTAAAGTGGTAGAGGGCTAGCCTTGAGCAAAAAAGTACAAGGACAGCACCCAGGCCTTGATTCCAAGCCCCTAGGACCAGCACAAACAAAAAGTATCATCTCATGAGTTTACTTGAAAGAGAAACTCTTGGTAGAGAATCTCAAGGGCTATTTTGTTTTGCACATTTTAAAGAGATAATTAAATTATATCTTCTTCAAAGTTGTAGGCATGGAGATGGGAGTTGAAAAGTGTTGTCAGCGTTATTAGTCAGAGTCAGATGTGTGAACTTGTCCTGTTGCCTGTGGAATGATGGAGGAAAATGTTGAGTACTGTATACATGAGAAATGTTTGACTCATCCTTGAAAACTAAGGTGTATGCAAAATTTTATGAAGGCTGTAAAAAGCTGAACCACATATGCCTGGGATTTCAATTTATCTTATTCAGAAACTCTTTAATGGTCTTACTTTCTTACTTAACCTTTACAATGGGCTACTGTGTGTGTGTGTGCATGTGTCTGTGTGTAAGAGAGAGAGAGAGACAAACTTTTTTTTGGCTGATGTGTTGATTAAATTATAGTTGATATGAGGGCACTAAGGCTATAAAAATAATAAAAAAGATAAAAGTACACATTAACAAACTTTAAGAAGGTGAGGGTATGGCTCAAGAGATAGAGCAAAAAACCTAATGCTTGAACAAAAAAAGCCAAATGAGAGCACAAGGCTCTGAGTTCAAGACGCAGAGCCAGCACCAAACAAAACAAAACAAATTCAGTTTTACATTATCTTTTTTCCCCTGAATTTGATTTTAATAACTAATAAGGTCCAATATTAAATAATGTGCTTAGAATAGAAAATAGAATTGAAACTCTGGAAAACCAGAAAAAAAGAGAATTGAGAAACTCCTGGAATTCTGGCATTCATTATGGGGTTTTTGTTGCTGTTGTCATTCATAGAGCTTGATCTCAGGGCTTGGGTATTGTCCTTGAGCTTTTGTGTTCAAAGCTAGCCCTCTACCACTTGAGCTACAGCGCCATTTAGTTTTTGTGGTGGTTAACTGGAGATAAAAGTCTCATAGACGGGGGCTGGGAAGGTGGCTTAGTGGTAGAGCGCTTGCCTTGCATGCAGGAGGCCCTGGGTTTGATTCCTCAGCACCACATAAGCAAAAAGAAAAAAGCCGGAAGTAGTGCTGTGGCTCAAGTGGTAGAGCACTAGCCTTGAGCTGAAGAGCTGAGGGACAGTGCCCAGGCCCAGAGTTCAGGCCCCACGACCAGACCCAAAAAAGTCTCATAGACTTTCCTGCCAGGCTGGCTTTGAAGAGTGATTCTCAGATCTCAGCTTCCTGAGTAGCTAGGATTACAATGTGTGAGCCACTGACGCCCAGCTTCATTATGTTTTTGGGAAAAAGTTTCTACATGAAGAAAAGTGTTCCTTGAGCTTACTTACAGCTTATCCTATGTTACACCTTCTGGCAAGGTATTACAGGAATTAAACGAGTATCTTTTATTTCACCACCTTTGCTTATTTGCATTGTGAATCCACTAATTCCCTTGAATCCCTTAGCTTAAGGAAAAGTTTAGTCATGTCCTCATCATCTTCCATAAGAAGTGGTGTGGGATTAGTACTTGCAGGCACAAGCTACAGAACAGCCTAGGGGATAAGTCAGAAACATGCCTGAACCTGCAAAGACCACCACCAGGGTTGGAGATTTAGGCTGTGCATCAAAGATTGTGTTCTTGTTTTCCCTTGACCAGTGATAGACTGTGACAAGTGTACGTGTAGGTTGTGATTAATATATAGCTATTCTTTGGGTTATTTTTCTGAATCACTGCTTAGTAAACAAATATTTGTTTTTGTGCTAGTGCTAGGGCTTGAATTCAGGGTCTGAGTTCTGTCACTTAGTTTTTTAAAGCTAGCACTTTGCCACAACTCTTCATCTGGCTTTTTGGTAGTTAATCAGAAATAAGTGTCTCGGAATTTCCTGCCCAGGCTACCTTCTAACCACAATCCTCAGATCTCCGTTTCCTGAGTAGCTGGGAGCTACCATGCCCAGCCAAGGAAATTTTCTGTGATCGTAAAGGAGAGGTCTATAAATCTGAATAACAATATGTCACTTTTAATTTTTGGCTTCAACAATCTGAAAATTTCCTTCAAATGCTTCTCACATACACTTAGTTGCTGCTTGCACACCTGCATATTCAGATAGCTGTTACTTAGGGTAAAGACTTAAGACTTAGTGGTTCA